AATTTTTTTTTTTTTTTTTTTTTTTAAAAAAAAAAACATTATTAAATTTTCATTCAATTCGTAATGTTAATTGTATCTTCCTTGATAAAAAAAAATATATATAAAATATAATAAAAAAAAAATGGAATATAAACAATTAAAATAAAATTAATTTATTAATTGATTCATTAGATCGAGCAAGTATTATCAAAATATCTTGAGGGAGCTGATACCCAACAACAAAATAGTAATACTTCTACATCAAGAGATAGTAACAGTGGCCCTGAATTGGATGTACATGATATTGTTAATATGGCGGCATCTTTAAGAATAAAAGAAGGCCACGAAACTATGCAAGTATTAACTGAATCAATGTCATCAGCAGCGATGAAATCAAATAGCAGATACGTTACTACAAAGAAAAATGAATTATCAGATGGCGTATCACCAGATTCAAATTATTCATCCAAAGGTTCTGGAGGGGACTTGCAACAACATTCCTTAAAAGATAAAAAAATTCAAACTTTAGAACCACCACTTCCAACTGAATATAAAGGTTCAAAAGAATTACCACCAAAAGATTTATTTGATCATTTAATACAATTATATTTAACTCATGGATATGCATCTAGGGGTCCTATTATACATAAACCTACATTTATTAAACAGTTGAGAGATAAAAATAATCAGCCATCTTTGCTACTTTTAAATTCTATATTCGCAGTTGCTAGTTTCTTTTCTGATGATAGAAGAACCCGAACTGATCCAAATAATCCTGCAACTTGCGGTGATATTTTTTGGAACCGGTCTTTAAGTATGTTTAAATAATTATTATACACACTTTTGTTGTTATATTGAAAAATTTATATATATATATTTTTTAGCGTTGATCGACGATTTTATGGACAGAGCACGACTTTCAACCGTTCAGGTTCAATTATAGATGATTTTTTTTTTGTACAATTACTTTGTGGACTAAATTTAAAATTGTTAAAATTGGAATATTTTTTTTTTTTTAGGCTTTATTATTTCTGATTCAATTTTGTGTTAAATCGGTAAGTTCTAAAATTTTTTTTAAAAAAAAAAAAAATAATAATAATTTTTTTTTGTTTTAATAGTAAACCTTTACCAGTGTACGATTATAATACTAAATTTCCATATGAAATTGATGACGATGGAGAAGAAGCTCAAGATGTAGCGAATCATATGCACTTTTCTAAATTAATGAAGATTTATGGAAATGTTTTACAATCAAAATCATATTTTTCACAACCAGGAGCCTTAAGAAATACTTTACCTGCTATTGACGCAACTTTAAACTCATGGTCATTAGCATTACCCTCACATTTACAATTTAATCCTCCACCTGTTGGTGATCCTGAACCAAATTCTATATCTTTATTTTGTGCATATTTGCATCAAATGTACAACACAGTGTTGATTTCTCTTCATCGTCCTTATATAGATTCGGAAGAATTTCCAAATTTTGATTCACGTGATATTTGTAATAAAGCCGCAGGAAATATCACAAAACTTGCAAATTGTATACCAATTGATTCTCAAGGAGTATATTTTACATATAGTGCATCTGCATATTGTTTAACACAGGCAGCTGCAATACATGTTTTGAATGTTGGTGATCCTGAATATTCTCATATTGGAAGAAAAAATATGGATAAAACAATCGATGCCCTTCGAAAAATGGTACGGGAAGCAAAACTGGGTCACGGTCATTGTGGAGTAGAAGATGCCACAAATATGCTGGATTATCTTTATCAGGTGCAGCTTTCTAAAATACAGGATAATTCTGAAACACAGAAACCTATTCGTCGTATTAGTAGAAGTGGCGGTGGGGGTGGTGGTGATGGGCCAAATAGGGGCGGTAGTGGAAGTGGTGGTGGTTATAATAACAACAATAAAGGTGGTGGGAATAATAGTAAAGGAGGAAATAATAATGATAAAAACAACCAAGTTAAAAATATACCAACCCCTCCTCCATCATCACACCAACAAGATTCTGCAGATGGTGGTGATTCTATTATGTCGGCTCTTGTAAAAACTGAAAAATCGCCAAGTTTACTGAATCGCCAACAGCCTTTTTCTACTTCCCCTTTAGGACCAACTCATCCACGTAAATCTTTGGGTGAAGTACGTCATCATCATTCAGGACCTACATATTTATCTCATAATTCTTCTATTGGAATAATTAAACCTAATCCTACTCCTGAACCTTCCCCTCCTTTCCCTCAGCAACATCTTCATTATCAACAACAGCCCCATCATCATAACGTACAGGCACATACTAGAGTTCAACAACAAAATGATGACTTAACGACTACGAATCATCATTACATGGAAATTCCTCCTCCAATGGTTTTGAGTTCACTTGCTGAGCCGCCAGTTGTTCCATCTTCTGGTTATTATAATACTAATAACTTTAATCCCAACATAGTGGAATTTACTACACCAAGCAGTACTCAACTTTATATAGGAGATTGGAGTGATATGGTAGGAGTTGGAAATTCGCATCAGCAAATTCCAACAACAGTGTCATCTCCTTCCCCTCCTGCTATGAACCAAAACCAAACCAATGTGAGCGTAGGAACTCTATCTTCAAGTCATCCGAATTCTCCTTCAGGTCCTACAGTAAATCCTACATCAATACATCAAGACCAACCTTCTAATTACTTATCTTATGGGGATCAAAACACAGCAACGATTTTATTAAGTAATAATCATACCATGATGGGCAGTGGTGATTTGGCAAATGGGACAAATACAAATGTGAATGAACATAACATTGACAATAGTAATGTGCCTTCGCCACAACACCCAATTATAGTTCAACAACCTACTCATCATCATCAGCATCATCACCCAATGGTATCACAATCGACAAATCATCCTCAATCATTTCCAAATTCTTCAACATCAAATTTGTGGGTTCAACAACCACAATGGTAGACATTAACGTTGCAAATTTAATTTATTTTAATACAAAAAAAAAAAAATTATATTTATCAACGAGCGGGTAATTCAAAATTAAATATCGATTTATTCTATTTTGATTTACTTAATTACCTTTTTTTTTTATTTTAATTTATGATGCAACACATTAAAAAATGTTTTTTATTTTTTTTTTTTGCTTATATATATATGTATATAATTACGCTTTTTGTTTTATTTTATTTTTATAATCTTTTTTCTTGGATTTGATTTAATAATTATTTGTTTATTATTATTTATTTATTTATATATACGCTTTATCTTACTTTCTATGATGTGAATCATATATATGTAAATTATAAAGATTTTTTTTTTAAAGAACCGAGTTTAATACGTATAAAAAAAAGAAAAAAAAGAAAAAAAAGTGGTATTTTTTTGCGGGTATTGTTTTAAAATTTAAGTCGAAGGTTCAACATCTGTGTATTATTTTTTATTTTATCTTATGTTTAAATATGCTAAAAGGGGATATATTATTTGTATAGTGACAGTTTTTGTGGATTATATTATTATAAAAGTTTAAATTAAGGAATTCATTAATAGAATTAAAAATTTTTTAATGTAGTTGCAAATAATTAAATCAGTAAAAAAAAATTGAATAGAATAAAAAAAGCAAGGTAGACAACTTTTATTGGACGTGATATTTTGTCTTTTACAATTTTTATTGGTAACGATAATCTTTTTGTTACTGATTATCTATAAATTTTTTATATACGAAAATGACACCATTTGACATCATTTAGCATCATAAAAAAAAAGCCAAGAAATCAATTATTAAATTAATTTTTTTTTTTATGAATAATATCAAATCATCGTACGTAGCCTATTCCAAGACACTTTATCACAAAAATAAAGTCGATTTTAATATCAATTTACTTAAAATATTAATATTGTGATATGAAAAAAATAACTTATGATCGAATCACGTATTGTCTAGCATTAGATTTAACAGACTTAATTCCCTTCATATGCAGTAACTGCATATTTACCATCTTTCACTATGCGGTTACTATCACAAATATAGTTCAGTTACAATGCAATTACTGCATATTAACTATTGTTTCTGTAATGTATTCGTGAGTACCGAGTACTTTGTTGAGATACCGGATATTATATAAAGAGTATATAAGTTTGACCGGAATCAAGCACTAAATTTGCCATTGCTAGCATTAAGGGGGGTGCGGACTGGGTGCGGTATAAATAATTATCTATTTATATAATGAAAATGCATAAAAATAGGTTGAGTTCTTTCTTGCATAAGTCAGTAAGAAAAAATAATATGATATCAAATTATCAATCTATTTAACCGCCAAACTACTTAAGTCTACACTCCGTAAATCAAATGTATTAGATTTAGATCATCATCATTTCGAAAATCGTTAAACAAAAATAAACAGTTAAGAAGAGTTAAAATTTGAAAGAACCAAATTTTTTATTTTTTATATATAATTATGTACTTAAAAAAATGAAATATTTTTAAAAAAATGAAGTCGTGTATTATATAAACAGGTGAAAATATAAAACAATACAAGATAGTATAATATACAAAAAAAAAGAAAAATTAATAAGAATAATAATAATAATTAAAATAAATTAATATATATATTTTTTTTTTCAAAACTATATACAATAATAAGTAATAAAATAGCTATGATTCCTTCCCACAAACTTTTTTTTAAAAAAATTATTTCCGGTCTACCATAATATTATTTTTTTCTTTTTTTTTTTATTTTTTCCCTTTTTTTTTTTTAAAAAAAAAAAAAATAAATATTTAACCCACCAAAATCATCTATCTTGTTCTTATCAGCATTTTTTCACTGTCAAAACTTCTATTTTTACCATTTCTTTCCAACGCTCTACGTAATCCTTCCAATGAATATTCATCATCTGTTATAGCTGAACCTTCGGTAGTACCGCCTTCATCACCAGAATCGGGCCCAAATTCGCTAGTTTTTGCTCTTAATTCCTCCAATTGATCCATTAATCCCGCTACAACAGATTTATCAAGCTGATTATTTTGTTTTGCTTCATCTCTAATCTCCCGTTCAAGATCTCCTAATAACTCTCCCAATACTTGGTCTGGAAACATTTGTCCGTATGTGGCACCAAAAAAGTGAGACAATTTACGTATTCCTTTTAATTTTTTTTGTTTACGTGGTCTATTTTGTTGATTGGGCAATGCAAAATTAGTTGATGGTGAACTTGAATAAGGTGTTGGAGGAGATGATTTTCTTCTTGAATCTATATTGTCAGTATCTTCTTGATTTTCTCCTTCATCACTATTTTCCATATAATTAATAAGTTCATACATTGTTTCTCTATCATTTTCCATCAAATATTCAAGAGACATGATGCTTCTACGATGAAGATCAATACTTGAGCAATCCGACGAATTGTCTGACATAAACTTGGATTGTGAAAAAATTAAATTCTGTGGGGGTGTTTCACCAAACATCTTTTGTAGCTTAACAGCTCTTTGAAGATGACGTTTTCTATCCACAGCTGATAATTTTGTAACAGAGACATCATTTTGATCCAATGTGTTTGATGTGTTTGATATGAAAGAAATATTATCCTTGGAATCCTTCTTGTTAAAAGATAATGAGTTAGGTCGTCTTTTTTTATTCTTAAAATTTGACGACGGCGGCGGTGGTGGTGGTGGTGGTGGTGATAATGGAGCTGATTGAGGTGTTAAAGGTTCTTCTAAATCATCGTCGTATTCACCCAATACAGCATTTATAGGAACTTTTTCGCCTAAGAATCGATAAAGTTTTTGCAGTTTCTTACGGCGGTACTCTTTCGTGTCTTTGTTAACAATAATCAATGGAACAGTATCAGGATTAATTGAAGGTACACCCTTGATCGTATGTTTATTACTCAATTTTTCATCGAGTGAAACGGGAGGACTTGCTGGTGGGGTCACTATGGATGATGTTATAGTATTAGAAGTCGACTCTGATGGAATTAATGGTGAAATCATTGAATCAGATGCACGACGATTAATTTGTTTGTTCATGAATGATCCATTACTACTTCTACTATATCTATCATGATCATTATATGTCGATCTATCACTGCTAAATCTTTCACTGTTTGGAGAATGACCTGGAGTTGACTGAATGACTGGAAGTGTTAAAGCTTGTCGTACAATATCTTCATCCAATGCTTCTCCAAACATTATTTGTAATTTCTTGGTCTTTTTCCATAACATTCTCCTATCATTTGCGCTCAATTCGTTCATTGTTTGCAACTGAGGACTATCAGGAGTTTCCGAATTAAAATTTTGGGTCTGTGGTGTTGTTGATGGACTATTTAGAGTTCCCGTTAAAGAATCTCTTTTCTCATTTAATATATTTTGAGAGTAAAGTTGAGAATCCTTTAACCCTCTACCAAATATTGATTCTAATTTCTCTACTTTCTTCTTCTTATTCCAAACATCCTTTGCAACTTTCCTATTTTCAGATATAGTTGATGAAATACTCTTCGTATCATCATCATCACCATATCCTATTCTACCATTACCGTAAAGAGTTTCATCTGGCATGACAACAATTTGATCATCCATTCTATTAATTCTCTCTCCAAAAACCCATTTCAATTTTCTTTCTTTTTTAATTTTTCTCATTCTTTGTGCATTTGTTAATCTATTTTCATTATCGAAATATCCGTTCAAATTTGGATTTTCATCATTAGCAGCACATTGCATTCTTCTTATTCCTCTATTATCAAGAAGAATGGTTTCAGGGAAATATTGTGACAATATAGTATGAAGGGTTTGCTCTTTATAATGATGGGATACTGGCGGTTGTTTTATACTAGGATCATGAGCCATTGTAACAGCAAGCATAATTGACATATTTGGATGGAAATAGCTTTCAAGCGATTTTGTCATTTCATAGCTTTGATATTCTTTAGGTTCTTTATATAATTTTTTTTTTAAAAAAAATATTATTAACAATTAAGTAGGCAAAGTTTTTTGTAATTTAACAAATATATAATCATTTAAATACCTAATTTTTTTCTTCTCGCACACTCTTGCCATTCAGGACTATCCTCAAATCCGATAAAAGTATAACCTTTCATCAATTGATAAACGGCTTCTTGCGCTTCATCAAACATATTTCTCTCCACAACATCATCATCATCTATTGGCCAATTAATATCTCTTCTGATTTCATCGCTAATATTCACTTGTAAAGGAGCATCTGAATAAATATAAGTATAATAAATATATCTCGCGTGAATTACGGCAGTTTGTTGCTCCTCAAAATAATTATCTTCAATATCACAAGAATTTCCCGCAGCAAAGAGTTCTACATCAAGCCAAAATAATAAATTTTCAACCGAATATTCCTTAATAGCAAATTTTTGGAAATAATTAATTGCAAGCGTATTTGATAGAACAGCTTGAAATCTTGTTTCTGAATCTTGAATTTCTTTCTGATTATGTATTATAGATTGCAAAGATGATGTTGAAGTATTTGGAGTTGGTGAATTAGAACGAGGAAGTATTGTGCTATTTCTAGGGCTAATGATCGGCATACTATATCTTTTAACTTCACTAGTCTTAGTTTCCTTAGTTTCCGATGGTAAAATATTGATAACTGAATCAGAATCATCTTTTTCGATATTATCATTAAAACCTAAAAAAAAATTATTATAAAGATTGATTTGGATGTGAAAAAATTTTTTGTTCATTTAATTTAACGTACCTTCATAAATATTAAGTACATTTACAACATCACCATGCTCTAAAACATCACCCACAAGATCACGAAATCTTAATGAAATCATACTGACGTCATACAATAAACCTACTTCAAGTGGCTCATATAAACCACCTTGTTCAAATCCACCAAACTTAAATGCATATTCTGCTTCAATCTGTCTTGCTAACCTTTCTACGGTGTAAGTTTTTTCAATAGTTATTGGAACAGATATTGTAGAAGTAATATTCGCGACAATTTGTATAAATGAAGAAATATGTTGAATTGTTCTTGACAAACGTTTTTTATGGATATGAGTAAATGGGTGCACTGAACGAATGGAGGATGAAGAAGAAAGTGAGATAGAGGATCTTCTATTAATATTCTCAGTTTGTGAATAAACGTCTGAAGAATTAGCAGCCGCGTAAGAAGATTCGGGAAAATCATTAGATTTTTCTATGGTCGCGCTATCAGAATTTATCAAACGGTGTATTTCCTCGTCATTATTCTTGATATTATTTGATTCTTTACTCTTTAAACTTTTACTATTTCCTGAATAACTTTCTCTTAATATACTTTTTGCACTATATACACGACGATGAGATGTTGAATTTGAGTTAAAATATGAAGCAGGGGAGGAGGAGTTACGAGTATGTGCCATAACGTTCCGGTGTGCATTGCGTAAAGAAGTTGTATTATTAATGGTAGGAGTAAAGTTACTACTGTAAGATAAAATAATATTTTTCGTTGGTGTTTGTGTCTGCGGATCCGTCACAGTAGATTTTGACGACATAATTTTTATTACTTTTATGTCTAGTCTAGTGATGTAATATATATTAAAGAAATTATTTTTATTTTATTTTTCTTTTTTTTTAAAAAAATTTTGTTTTGTATTTGTATTATCAATAGTTCATGTGGTTAACCTTATTATCTTTGAAGGTTAAAGAATATATTTCGCCACGCGCTTCGACCATAAAAGCTGCACAGTTTATGTATGTTTGTAAAACAAATAAGAATGTATTATCAATTATAATGTAAGCAATGCTTGCTTCCAAAAAAAGCTATTTATTTCTTAATATAATGAATAATTAATTAGTAAATGGTCACGCTCGTTGCTTCCTTTCGAATTTTATTTTGATTAAAAAAAAAAGAAAGAAAATTTCTTTTAGGTAGAGAAAAGAAAAAGAACGAAATATTATATATACAAAAAGAGAAAAAAAAAAAGTGGTGCAAGTAAAGATTTGAGTGTAACTACTTTACGGTTGTAACGTAGTAAATTTGTTATTGGAGGACAAGCACTAAAATCAAACTTTCTGGTAACCAATTAAATATTGTGTATCCTTCGTTTCAAGAATTTTAATATAACAAGAACAAATTAAAAAAGACGAGTAAAGTATTAAATAATGTAACTCTTACCTTATATATTTTTTAAGCTTAATCTAAAAAAAACATTAGGAGCAAGATTCATTTTATTATTGTTTGCGAGTAATAGATTTAAATAATTTTAAGTTAGCAAAAATGTCCAACTGCAAATTAAAAATTTCTTAAAAAGTCGGAAAGATCCTTTTTTTTGAGTTTTGCCACATGGAATTCACATGAACTGATATTTTATACAATTCCGGATCATTGCTTTTGAGATGATGTGACATGGTACATGAATAACTTTTTCTCGACTTTTTCGTCCAAAGTAAGACTCTTAGGATTTTAGGGCTTCCCCATTTGAAATAAATTTTTGAAAAACGTAGAATTGGTACACAAAATACTTGGAATGTTCTAACATCTGTGGCACAGCAACGTCCTTTAATTCTGCATGGGCATATAAAATAATTGAAGTAATTTTGCTCCTATTTAAAAGGTTACTCTTCTAACATAGGAGTAAGTGATTCGTGCAAAATTAAATAAATTAAATGACATCATAATCACTACGATAAATTACCATTCGTATGAGGGGAAGTTTGAGACAAGCATATATATGAGTCTCTTTACATTAAAACTCTTTTGTAAAAAAGTATATTTGTATTAGAATTTTATTCAAGGAAAAACCACTTATTGGACAATATTAACCACACTTGTGTTAACGTATATAACGAAGAATACTCGATTAATAATAAAAGATGTTCATTATAACTGTTTCTTTCACAAATTCTGGACATGTAGTATACGCCATAAGACACTTTATATGGTGCATTCGCAACTTTTATGAGGCTACCATGTGAAAAAAAAAATAACTTTATTTTAATCATCTGACAAGCCACAATGGTCAGCTGACAGTTCGAGGTAATAACGTTACCTATTTAGGGAAAAAAGCTGACCGATCATCTATTCAATCAAGTCAAATGCTCAAGTCTCATGTAACAAGAAGTTACACAAACAGATCTCACAATCCTGATCAAAAGATAAAACAAACAATAAATATATAGTAGATAGTACAGTATATATACATATATATATATACTGTATAAACGAATTTTTTGTTTCATTTAAATTTCCTTTTTTTTTTCTTACAATAACTTATTTTATCTTTTTTTTTTTTATCTTTTATTTTCTTTGACTGTTATTATATCATCGAATTCTTTTTTAAAAAAAAAACTAAGAAATGTCCTATGAAGAACCGAAAGTAGTAGAAACTACCAATGCAACAGAGATCGCAGAAACTGCAAGTATTGAAAAACAACAAACTGAAATTTCAGAAACGGTCGTGCCAGTAAAACATACACAACAAACAACAACTAATGATAATAGTATCGCACCAACAAACAGTAAAACTAAAAAAAAGTTTGTAATTGGCACTGAAGAAAGTCTCAGGGATAACAGAGGAAACAATGATACAGCGTCAGAAACTGAAATACACGTTGATTCTAAAGGGATTGGGGAAAATCATTTGGATACAAATACCAAACAAAAAATTGAAAGTGAAGAAGAAGAAGATTATGTTAATATTCCCACCACAACATCTGCTCAAATTATCTCAGAACCTCAACCACAACAACCAATTCAACAACCAACACCAAAAGATGATAAGGTTAGTGAAACGAATCCATCAGAATTATCAAGGCCTACAATGACTCCAACAGAAGCACATCAGGCAGCTCCAGTTGTCACAAATACAACAGTAACTGCGCAGCGACAATCAACTCCAACAAAACAACCTCCGAAATTTATACTTAACACACCAGCAGATTCACCTGATTCGACGCCTATTTCATCACCATCACCATCGGATGGAATTGTTAACGCTTCTTACATAAATCTTAAACTTACTCCTAATCCTTCAAGTCAAAATCCGATTCAACCCATTCATATGTTCGATAATAATTATACTGCCCCTCAACCACCTGATGACTCTTACACATCCGAACCATTAAATTATCCACATCAACCTCGATTTCCACCCTCGTCAAGTGGAATATCACGTACTCAACAAAAACTTTTACTTCAAAGGCAACATTTTCTTGCAGATGATGAAAATTATTTAATTCATCCACGCAATCAATTAAGATTAACTAAAGTTATTGAAAGGATTAACAGAGAACATGCAGCTATAACATTATTTAGAGATCCAATTATTGAGAGTTTGCAAAGAGTTTGGCCAAAATACGTTCAAGATCATCCTGAAGTGTTGGGGGATGATTTTGGTGTTGGGTATGAAGATGCAAAAGAATGGGGGGTAATTTCGGATCATGGAAAAAGCGTGGATCATATCGGGTCAAATTCAATTATAAGTACTGAAACGCTGGGTGTTGATTCTATGCCTTTACGTGGAATTAAATAATAATAGAAATTTCATAGAATGAGATCATAAACATGTTACTGAATACTTAGAAAAAAATTTTCTTATACAAATCTTTCAGAGAAGAAAAAAAAGAAATAAATTATAATCTTGATATTTTTTTTTAATTTGTCATCATTTCCCTATTTCTACGAATAATGATCATTGTTGACAAATTCACGTGATATTTATCACGCACTCGAGTGTTGGTCGATAATACTAAACTAAGTCACATTGCTTTTCCCGAGAGCTTTTATAGTTAGTTTATATATTTAATAATCTTCTTTTCACGCTTTGTTTGACTAATAATATAAAGTACATAACATCTCTCAAAAACAAAAAAAAATAAAAAATAAAAATCACATTCTGTGAAACTAATTATACAACACCTCCACCACCTGGGTTATTTCTCCCACTACCATTATTATTAATTAACCTGTTGGGAATAAATCTTCCCCACATTCTAAATACAATTCTTTTAAAATAATTATGACGTCTAAAAATGGTTCCTACACCTAATAATATTATGGAATATAATGGGAGTGTTATACTGAGGTACGTGAGCCTGTATGACCATGGACCTTCTAAAAAACTTCCTGTAAAATTATCGAGCCATAATTAATAAAACATGTATGATGTATAATTATTGTTATGATAGTTACCTTCAACTCCAAATACATTAGTGACAATAGGTCTAACAATTCTAACAGTAGTTGAACCAGTGATACCAAATACAGCAATAATTATAGTCCATTCTTTCCACCATGTCCAGCTCCACCTTTTCATTTCGTCTTTACTGTTATGAGTAGAAGTAACATATTGTCTCAACGAACTACTACTACTATTATTGCTTGAACAAAGTAATAACGCTTCACTAGCTTCATGTTGTTGTACTAAATGTGAACTATTGTTCATTTTATTTTTTGAACGTACTAATAAATTAGAAATGCTTTTGTGAGAATAAAATTTGGTGTTGTTACGGAGAGAACGAGAGATAAGTGAAGTTGTTCTAACGAACATTTTTACTTGTAAAAAAAAAGTATAATTAATAATCGATTATCATTCTGTTTTTTTAATTCGCACACTATGTGATTGACTAAATCTGATTATCAATAGATTATCAAAACAATTTTAACTTGCTTTTTTCCTATCCCAAATACAAAACAACATGGCGTTGCTTAAAAGCTCTTGTCCCGACTTGGAACTTATAACTTGTGGAAAAGTTCGAGATTTGTACCGAATAGACGATAATACTTTGTTATTTGTAGCAACAGATAGAATAAGCGCATTTGACGTTATTATGAAAAATGTATACAATATACTATCATTCCAATACATAAAATCATACAACTTTTAACAAATTGCTTATTTTTTTCATAAGGGAGTTCCAGGAAAAGGAAAATTATTAACACAAATGAGTGTATTTTGGTTTAATTATCTGAAGGATATACTGCCGAATCATATTATAACTACAGAATTTGATCAAATGCCAGAAAAAGTACAAAAATATCGGGATCAACTTGAATATCGATGTTTACTTGTTAAAAAATTAAAAGTTTTTTCTGTAGAAGCTATCGTTCGTGGATATATTACCGGCAAGTATACATATTTAAATTGTTTATTTAAATGTAAGATTATTAACACTAGAAATATTATTCTATTATTATAGGATCTGCATGGTCCGAATATAAAAAGAAGGGAACGGTTTGTGATATTACTTTACCCGAAGGATTAAAAGAAAGTCAAAGTTTTGAGAAGGCATTATATACTCCTAGTACTAAAGCTGAAATTGGTCAGCATGGTAAATTATAACATATAAATTATATGAATTAAATGAATTAACATGATTTTTCTAATATATTATTATGTGATTTACAAGATGAAAATATTCATCCTAGCAAAGGTAAATGCTATTTTAACAAAATTCTATGTATTAATTTTCATGCATTAATATATTTTTTTAAAAGTTCCTGAAATTATTGGAGATAAATATGCAGATCAAATCTCAGAAATTTCGGTAAAACTATACACAAAGGTAATGTTTTAAATTATTAATCCTCTCCAAAAAATAAATATTAATAAAAAAAGATCATTATATTTTATTAAGGCAAAAGAATATGCATTGAGTAAAGGAATAATTATTGCAGACACAAAATTTGAATTTGGAAGGGATGATACAGGAATTCTTTATCTTGTTGATGAAGTATTAACCCCAGGTTAATAATTACATATGCTCAATTTCTTTTTTTAAAAACAAAAAATTTTAACAAATGTGATTTTTTTTTAAAAAAAAAAGATTCCTCAAGGTTTTGGCTTTCCTTGAATTATGAAGTTGGCAAAAGTCAAGAAAGGCATGTTATTTTTTTTTTCTTTTTTTCTTCTTTTTTTAAAAAAAATTCCTTCTAATTTATATACTAAACTTTTTTTTGTTTTAATATTTTTAGTTTTGATAAACAATATTTAAGAAATTATTTATTAAGTATTGATTTTGATAAAAAAACTAGTATTGAACTACCTAATGATATAATTACAAAAACCATGGAAAGATATATTGAAACTTATAAAATGATAACTGATTCTGATCCAACTTTTTTATGATTTTTATATATATAAAATATGTAAAAGGATTTTATATAAAGCTATAGAAGTGTAATAAAAATTTTTTTCTGCCTTTTTATTTCTACTTCTTTTACTATTATAAAAAGTAAACTATTATTCATTTTATTTTACAAGTATAATAAAAATAAAAATTACTGTATATTCAATTCCTATTTTTTATAAAAAAAATTAAAGGTTAAATAAACAAAAAAAAATTATTAAAAAAAGGATAAATTAAAAAATAAGAATACTTGTTTTTTATTAAAGTATCTTTTTAAGTTCGCATATAAAATTATATAATGTATTAAATTCTTTTTTTTTGAAAATTATTATTTATAAATCAAGTTTATTTGTAACAAAACCAGATAAAGTAATCATTAATTTAAAGCTTAAACCATTAATTTTTTGGATTTTTAAAATTTTATATATTATTTCTTTACATTTTTAAAATAAAATAATATAATTCTAGTAATACATATGTTTAATTTAGGCTGGCATTAAAAATTTAGCTAGAATTATAATTTAAATTTAATTGATTTATATATATTTAATAAGTAAGTTGCACTACAATTTATAATATATTAATACTGGTATATCTTTTTCTTATATCAAAGATATTTGATTGAAAAAATTATTGAAGCTGCTGGATTTATAGATAAAGATCCAGAATCCTTTATATCTTATTTCATCTCTCTATGAATCTTCTTAACTTCTGGATAATCAGCCTATAGTCTTATACTCTTATTTATAGCTTTATTTCCTATTAATTTTCTTTAACATTTCCAGATCTTAATATTTTGCACAGTTCTTTTAATAAAATTATTGCTACTATACATAATAACTTTATTCAAAAGTTTAAAAAAACTGCATTTTTATGAAAAAGGTCTTTGAAAATATTCTATCAATATCACACAAACCATAAAAATCTTACTATAGCCTTTTAATATACTATAAAATCAGTATATAAATTCTATTTATAGAATTTATTATACATAATTTTAGTTTGTGTATAATGTAACTTATAATTTTACAATTTTATATTTAAAAATAAAATTTTGCAAGTATAATATTAAGTACTACACAAATTGGATTTATTTTTGTGTAAATTTTTTATTGCATATTACATAAAAGTATTTAACTTAAATTTCATATATTGCATGAAATGTTTATTCACCTTTCTTTTTTTTATCATCTTTAATTTATATCACTTACATTATATGATTCTGTTAATTAGTTCAAAAGCTCAATTACTTATGAATTATTTTATATAATTATTTTTCAGATTTTATAGATTATTTAACAGTACTATTAAATAATTGCTTTTGCAAAATAAAATATTGATTTTATAATGAATATGCCTTCTATTGTCTAATTAGCATAGTTATATTTAATATAATTGAAATATATTACAGAAAATAATCTAAGAAGTATTAGTGTAATTATAATTTTCTTTTATTTTAAATTGATTTTTACTATAATATTTTTTTAAAAGACTATATAACTTTATTTTTTAGTTAGTATTTTATTTTATTTTGTTTATATATATATAAATTACAGTTAATAAAATTTATTAATAAAAATAAAAGTACTATCTCTATATAAATTTTAATTAAGACTAGTATTTCACATGAATTGATTTATAATACAGTGTAATTCTAATTAATTCTGAAAAATAAAAATGTATTTTGCAAATAACTTTTAATCTAGCAGTCCAATTTTAACGTTTTTTTATTTTAATCAAAGTAATAAGAGCTATTAATTAAAAAAAAAATTATTCACTAAATCCTAAAATAATATTTTTTAGAGTTTGAATTGAACTTAAATTGAATCCAAATTGAATCAAATTTTAGAGGAAAAATTTAATTTATGCGTAATACTAATTAAAACTGATCTTTGAAATAAAATGCATATTAATATTAAAAATAAGAAAAATTTTTAAAGTTTTGCAATAATTTTCATATATTTTTTAAATTACTTACAATCATTAAACTTTTAAAGATTAGTTAATTTAACAATTATAATATTTTATTTTTTATTTTTTTAAATAATTATATAAGTATAACAGAATATTTTAATATAATTATTAACTATATTTTATAAATAAAATTATATAATATAGGGCCTTTGCAATAAAAAAGGATAAAACAAAATCAAATTTATATTTATATATCAAATATAATTTTTAAACTCAAATAAATTTAGATTAAAATAGAATGTGATTAACAAGCTTTTCTCTTTCTTCTACTTCTATTACCCCATAACTGAACAGTTCTAGCAGTGTGTTCAAGCAGTTTTCAACCAATATTAATGATTTCTTTTAGAACTTCAGATGCAAGGATAACATCAGAAGAATATGCATAAAGAATGTTTGTATGATCAGATAAAAATTCTATAGCAGTAGCCATAAGATTGTTTACTGTAATTTGAAGAGAAACTTCAAAAGTTAAAGTGCAAGCTATACATACAAAGTTAGCAAGATAATCAGGACCCCGAAAAATACATAAAAAGGTCACATTTGAGTTTGCTTAAAAAGAACCTAAATTTTCATGAAAATCTTTCCTTTTTTAGATAGTGCTGGCCTAAATTTTATTGTCCGTTTTGATACTGGCCAGCATTATCATAATTCCGGCCCTGAAAAGTTGCTTATTTTAGGCCAAAATCTTGCTGATCATTTATGACTTCCATATGTATTTTTCGGGGTCCTAGATAATCATCCTTCTTATTGCTAAAGTTGCAGATCTTGAATGAAGCTAAAAGAATAAGATTTTTAAGATTAACTTCAGTTTTAACAAGAGAATTCCAAAGGAGAATTCCTAGATATGCAGTTCTTTTAGAATCATAATTTTTATTAACATTTTCAACAAGTGATATTAACATGTCCATAGTATTGACATCTAAATACACAGGAAATATTTGGAAATCAAATGATCTGAAAGAGGTGATATCTTTTATCACTGAAGAAAGGAAATTGCCAATCTTCCCATTTGTACTGAGAAGAATATTAAAGAATCCATTCCATAAAATATTCCGAATTTGTTATCACCATAAAACAAAGTAGGTATCATTACTCTTTTTCTGCATAATCAATTCATATACCTCATTAATACAGCCTTTTTTTTTTAAAAAAAATAACCTTTATTAATATTAGACATTTCTAGAACATCCGTTAAATAAAGTATTATGAATAGACCTTCATAATTCTTAAAATTAGAATTTTTAAAAATTTAAATAATTACTAATACTGTTACAATTTGTGATGTACAATTTTAATTACAAGTACTATTTATTTTTTTAATTGCATATAAAGTATAAAGTTTTAATTATATTATTTATTTCAAAATTAGAATTTACTGTTATAATTTGTGATGTACATTTTTAATTACAAGTACTATTTATTTTTTAATTGTATATAAAGTATTAAGTTTTAATTATATTATTTATTTCAAAATATCATATTTATTGGTGCTATTTATTGTTCAATTATTTACTATGATACTATCATTCTTCACCAGGAGATTCAGTTAATCCTTCACCAGGAGTATATGTTAGGCCTTCCCCGATTTGATGCTTTCATTCTCCTTATATGAATCGGGGAAAGGATTTCCACCATAATCTTAGATGGGACCAAGCCACTGGATATCTACGCCGGGATTCATTTATCACTGATAACGATCCCAAAACAGTAGCCCAGAATTCATTACATTCGTGTTCACCTTCAATTGAATATTCCAAAACTCCTCTGCGCTCCATCTTTTTCTTTTAATTTCTTCGATTGTGTTACACAAAAGTTGTCCCAAACTTATTGTCCCGAATTGTATCCAGAATTGTTGAGCACAAGGTGTTGATTTGGGGTATCCAGAACTATTCTCACTGATGTACAAGACATAGGTCCCCCTAGTTCTCAATTCCGCCACAAGCCGCGTTTTACCGGAACTTTCTAAATAAGGGGCGTATTTTCCATCTGACAGCCAAATTTCATGAAATTGTTTTAGCCGAGAGCAAAAGGTTTCCAGAACAGTGCTTGGTATTTAGTTTGGAATGCTATTTCAACTTTATTACTATCTGTAAAAAAAAATAATAATATGTACAGTATAATGAGAAAAGAAATAATGATTTATAAACGCAGAACACTAAAAGTTTGTACTATACATTCTTACCTTTTCCACTTGATGAGCTCTCGTCATCTAATGATAGCAAGTAAATAAAATGTCAGAATTGTATTTAGATTTTGAAATATTCAAATCCAACCATGGCACACATACCATTTTCTTTCTCTACAATAACCTCTAATGTACCCATATTATATAGATCATCAATAGAAATAGTGGGTTCCAAGGTTTTCGTTTCCTTTTCTTTGCGAAGGAAGATCATCTCATAGGAATATTCGCTGAGGGTTCTGTGATTAATCTTTTAAGGTGTTGTAAGGCACGGATATTATTTTCTTCCAATTCTTCTCGCTCAAAGAAGACTGTATCACAATGATCATAACGAACCAATATTCTCTTATCTTTTTTTAGTTAAATAGAATTGTGAGTAAGATATTTCGTAATAAAATTCGTATATGGCCAAAACAATTAATTACCTTCTTCAAGCTTCAGCTTTTTGTTTGGATAGCCTAAAAAGAAGAAAGTGCCAAAAAAAGTCAATAGACAATTTGAATAAGAAGTAACGAAAAGATGGGACTACGAAGATATGAAAAGAATATGACAGGGAGGCACTTACGAGCGATGGTGTAGTCGATGGTGACGATGTAGATCTTATTCGCCTTAAAATCGCGACGACCAAGTTCATCTTGAAAATATACTCCAAACAGTTCATTAGGTTTCATTTCTTCTCCGCCAAGTTTGACAATGTAATCATCAGTAGAAATTTTTTCGATATCACCATCGATATTAACTTTCCAAAGTTTCATATCGTAGAATTCTTCAATTTTGTACATTTCACAGATAAGTTGTGGAACCGTGAATTGGTATAAGTAGGTCATTTCATCATTAGTCTTGACGAGTTAAATAGGAATTGATTTTACAATTCTAGTGTTTGCGTTTACGTTTACAACTAAGCAACTAAACGACCGATCCATTAGGAGATATTGCTATAAAAGTGATAAAAGGAGTAAGTTAAAAAGAAGAAAAAAAAGGTTGAAGAAAGAAGTTTGAAAGCGTTTTTGAGGGTATATATTTTTTATAAACCTTTTTGAATACATCGTGATTCGTGACTCATAATAAACTCTTGACCAGTGTTACGAAGGTTCCCTGCAAGTTGGACTCTCCCAAAAGAAAACAATGCGAGAAGTTCCACTGTTCCAGGCTGTTAGCATACAGACACTTTATGAGTGGACCGTAAAACATCAGAATTTTTAGTGACCTGTGAGGCAAGGTCGTTTAAGATAATTCATACAGGTAAAGATAAAAGGAAATTTGTGGCCTATTTCGAGAATTGGGAGACCCTATGTACGGCCTTAGAAACAGCCCAAGTTTTCCATCTGGTAGGGAAAGAGTTGAAATGGTGTAAACACTCTTCACCTAACTTAAAGAAACCGCCCGCTGATACTCCGAAAAAAATATTCATCAATTTATCAGTAGATTTAAATGAAAAAAATCAGAGTATTTGTTAACCGTGCGACCGATAATCTTTTTGTATCACATCAATTTTAAAATATCATTATAATGATAGATTTATCTTACTGAAATGGATAAACAAACAGGCAAAAGAAAATTTAAAGAGGAGGCGCTAAATTAATCAAATTTTCTCCAATCAAATAGAAGCGAAAGTGAAAACGAAGAAGTCAATATTTTTATCAATGCAAAAAGGTCACCTACACCTTCTCGACCACCTAGCGACGATTTCACAGAAAGTTAGCGATGAAAGAAATAAAACGAAGAGAACAAAAAGAACAGGAAAGGTAAAGAATAAGTAATAAGTAAAAGTAGAGTTCAAATTAAATGTTAATATTGATGTACGGTTCCAAAATGTATATAGAATTTAAATTTTAAAATATTAATACAGAATCAATCTTAACGTTAGCTTTTGATATTTTAGATAGGTACAGATGTATTTTAAGTACTAAACGTACGGGTTTTAATAAAGAGAAAAAAATTTTATTTTTTTCTAGTTTATTGGTATATTACTATATGTATCGGCGCACATAAATTGTACCAAAGTATAGGCAATAAAAGAAAAGACCAAATTGATATGATAATAAATTATCATGCTATTCTATATACATATGATGGACAAAAAAAATTGAATATTATTCATCTCATTCTACGTGTAATGGTCACCATAAACGCTCCCATTTCGAGCACATATTTGGGCTTCCGTGGATTTGATGTTTATACACCATTGATGGCATGATTATATATTGATAAATAAATATTTAAGTTTGCTTTGGTATAAAAACAATTCAGCCAGTGATATGGAAGTGCTCTGCTTTAGGTTCAGTAAAAAATTGTGAAACCATGTATTCGGATCCATTTGCTTTTCAATAACGTTCCCATGTTGAATTTGACAAATTTTTAAAGGGATTTCATCAAATGGTTCTCCCAATCTCCTTTTAATTTCAGCTTCGATTTCTCTAAATTCACCATATATATAAATTGTAATTGATTGTATTACTTTAGTACATGGAATATTCCTATAGGAACGATAAGACAATTGAGAGTGATTTTTTCTAAGTTCATTTCGATTCCTAAATACAAGGCACATTATGAGAAAACTCGCTCCCATGTCTAAAGCATGAGCATAACCCGACATGACATATATATTAAAAAAAAGCGATTTCCCAATTATTTAAAATAAAATATATGGAGGAAATTTTTTTATTTGTTTATTCATATATTTATTTTAGTAAAAATTCGCAATTTAATGTACACTGTATATTTCATTTTCATGGTGCAAATTTTTAATAAAATAACTTGCACAACCTGTTGCGTCCCTACAAAAATTTATTTTAGTTGCATTTATTTATTTCCAGTTATTTTTTTAATAATTTTTTAAAAAAGAATTTGCTATCAGACAATTGTCTTATTAAATATATCCATGTCTTATAAAGTACAACAGTTTAAAGAAACGATAAAAAAGTAATTTAAAACGGTTTTAAAAAATCATTAAAAAAAAAGAAATAATTATTAATTAAAAAAATGTATATATATAAAAACCATGCTGGTCGTGAAAAATCTAATTTAAGTTAAATGGGCTAACCGTCATAGTAATAATTAATTTTAATGATCAGTCCCAAATTACTTTAACAATATGGCAATCAAATCTCACATTGAAAAAAAAGAATTAAAACTAAAAAAACACCCATCAGTCACCCTATAAAAATTTTATCCATTATTTCTGTGAAAACTCCATAAAAATGAGCCTTTCCCGGATCCATTCACAGAAAATGTAAATAATTTGATTCGGGATATAATTAGGTTATTAATTTTGGAAATTTAAGCCTTTTACGGAAAAAAGATGGAATATAAAAAATGGCTTTTTTAGAGGTCAACATATCTTGACGTGAAAAGGATCTCTGTATTAAGATTTGTTGTTTTTTTCAAATTGTTTTCTTACAAATTTAATCTTTTTTGAAATTTTTAGTTGTGATAGCATTAATAAATTACTTTTTGTAAATTATTTCAACATGTCGGAAAAATTTCTGTCGGGATATATGTTGTCGGGATAATGTCATGTCGGGAAAACTAACATGTTGGTATAATGTCCATTAGGGAATGTGTCATGTCGGTAAAATATACATTCGGGAATATGTCTTGTCGGGCAATCGTCGGAAATCGTGGTGTAACCGGCTAAATTCGTGTAGATCTCGAAATTGCAGCCTTTCATAACATATGCTTTTGTCGTCACTATTTACTTATAGGGTAGGTCCTGTGTTGCAACTTTCACATTTGTTTGGACTGTTAGCATACATATGCGAAAAATAATGTTTCACAGACCTGCTCGTGTGATCAGAAATTTTTGCGTGGCGTCTATCCTCTCAGTTCGGAAGTGAGCTTACGAATTTTTCGATATGCTAATGAATTCTTCTTTTTAGATCGACAAATTTTTCTTTTAAGATTTTTTTTTTTTTTTAATTGATTTTAGGAGTAAATATTAGGCTTTTATCCTTATTATCATATGAAAAAAAGGCTGATTTCATACGAGATATTTACATTGCGAAAACGTATATATAATCTGGTATACATCAGCAAATTTTTTATTAAAAAAAAATTCCTAAGCAACTATTCACTTTTCTCATCATGAAATTTTCCATTCCTTTAATCATTGCCATAATTTGTATTGTGGCACTTGAGCAAATTGAAGCATTTAATGTTACAATCGGTGTATTTGTGTTTTGGACGCAATGTAAATTTTGGGCTACAGATCAATATGACAATACTGTAATGGATACTGGATGGATGGATTGCGAAACAGGAGATCCACATTTAACATATCATATTCGAGATGTACAAGCTAATCCATTCTGGCTTCATGCAAAGGTTATGGGCAGCATGAGAAAAGTAAAACATAGAGGACCATTTAGCGGGGATACCTGCTTTAAATTTAAGGGAGATGTTGGCAATTGGAAATTTGATCAACAAGACTGGTCATTTTGCGAAAACAATTCTCAAGACTAATTAATTTAATTAGTGTTTAAGTTTTATTTGTCTTATATTTACTTTATCTTTCGATTATTCCAATGTTGAACTAATGAAAGTATTACTATTTGGTTTATTAATTAACTTTAGTTTTATTAATTTAATATTCTTAATTTAGTCTTTGTTTTTGTATTCAATTATCATGTTTTTGTATTAAATTATCATGCTTTTGTATTCAATTATTGTGTTTTTGTATTCAATTGTTGTGTTCTGTATTCAATTAAATTCTATTGGTTAATTAACTAAAAAGAAAAAAAATCATAACAATATAACATAAAATTTCCTTTTATAGTAGGATCTTCAAAAAGTTTTATATGTAAACCTTACCTTAGGTTATAGGGTAACCTATTTTAATAGTAGGTGGGATCCTATTCAATTATTGTATTTTCATCCATGTTCATTAGAAAAAATTAAAGTAAAAAATAAGTTATAAGGAAGATTTGCTAAAGATAGCTAAATTGCCATTGCTTTGAACATCTGTTCTATTTTATCATCTAATCTTTCACAATTTTTCTCCTTAGCTGTATAATAATAAACTTTATATAATTCCTTTAAACTGGCAATAATTTTCTAGCCTTAAAGTATATGCTTCTTTATTAAGAAATATCTTGACTGCAACTGTCTTAATATAATTATTCAGATTCTTTCAGCTTACAGTTTTTTTAGATAGTCTTCATAATTTTTTGCAAAATTATCATATTTTCTGCCTTTTTGCAATGCTGTTTTTATGACTTTAACTTGCGCAAGTTCTATATCTTTATAATCAACCATTTTTGTATCTTTCTACTTTAATAATAAAAAAACTTTAATTAATAAAAAAATATATTCTTTAATTAATACTAATTTTTTTTACTCTAAAAAAAAACATTTGTTATAAAGCATTTATATTTTGACATGAAATTTAGTTTTCATAGCTCTTTCTTTTGCTTTCTCAAGAGTTATTTCAGATGCTACTAGATATTTATATAGTCCGATTTGCCAATGACCATATAGGAGGATTTAAATTCCATTAAGTAAGATTTAATACTTGTTATCATATGAATTCAGCCTTATGCCCCTATCTTATTTACTCTTTACAGATATATTTGATGATTGTAATTGCATAAACTATACATATTATGCCGAATTAGTTTTTTATTCCTAAGGCATTCTAGGAATTTGTCATATTAAAGCTCCCTTTTAACCATACATTTCTTAACACCCTTTGCCTTTTAGATAGCATGTTTCTTTTAGGGTTTTCAGAATCTAAGTCATCAAAAGTTTTAAAATCATAACCTGCTAAAAGAACTGAATACATTTTTGGCTTTAAATATACTAATTTGCCTATTGGACTTTTTTTTGTCTTAAATAAGTTACCTGAATAGTTAAAATCAAAAATGTTTGGCTTTTCTGCTTAATCTTTATATATATTTTCAGTTTCTATCTACATGATAAGTAAGTTTATGTCAGTACTTAATAGTCAGTATACAGTAAACAGACTTTATTTTTATAGCAAAACTTTATATAACCCTACCAAAAGTTAAACATCATGTTATTCCTTTTTTAAAGGCTTTAAAACTAACATATAATATCAAATACAGCATTATTTTTTAACTTATAATATATAATTTCAAATTCATTCCTATTAGCCTTCAGTTAGCTATTTTACATTTACGAATATTTTTTTCAATATATTCTTTCATCCATGAAGACTGTCAGAACTTGAGTACATCATAAACCTTTGTAATTTTTATCCTGAACTTTACAGAGGGCGATCAGAATTATCCGGCCACTTTTCAAGTTGGAAAAACTTATATATATATAATATAGCAATAATAAAAATTTAAAGTTAAACAAATTCATTATGTCTTTGTTTACTAATTTAGATAAAATTTTAATAATAAATTCTATCTCCATTTGCAAAAATAACTTCCCAATTCAATTAGTTATGCCATTGATAAATTTTTTATAATATTCTGGAGTAATACCTTTTAATGCATCTTTAACATAGTACTTTTCAAGTAGTTTTATCAGAAAATTTAATAAGGTATGCAAGCATAATGTTGAAAAAGTATTATACCATAATATTGCATATTAATTACAGGTATTATTCAAGTGTAATACTATATATGTAAATTATGAAATTTTTCGAGTTTGCGAAATTCGCAAATTTTAAAATTTAAAATTGTATGTTAAGGATATTTCGAGATCTAGTGATTGAAATATTGTAATTTTGGGTTTATCAGATTCGTCTCACTGAGAGGATTTGAATGGTAATAATTTAATATTTGTAGGATCGATATTCATCACATGATTACGCTCTAAAAACCTAAATGTCACCTACGATATTTTCTGATCCTATGATTGAAATTTTACGATTTATAACTCTTATGATCCGTATCATTGAGACGATTCGAATGGTGGTAAGCACAAGTCTATAAGACCAATATTGGCGGAATTATGATATTTTTAAGATTTTTAAGTTTGTTTACACAAAATTGTAAAATTTATAAAATTTATACAATAGGTGATATCATATTTTCGAAAAATATGAAGCATGGGAATTTGTTTATTGTGATTATAAATACAAAATTATATTTATTTATATTACATTAACACATCATAATCTACAAAATTTTAGCAAAATAAACTGGCCGGATAATTTTGATCGCCCTCTGTATATATATTTGAAGAACTCAATAATACACTATATAATTCTTTTTAATAAAGAGGATTTGAATTAACTTTTCACTTATTATATATATATTTTTCTCTTTCAATCTCTTTATCTTGCACTAATCTTTTATTATACTATAGACTAAGCCAATTTTTATTTTTCTAGTGCTAAAGGTAATAGGACCCCAAATAATACTAATATAACTCACAAGTAAACTTTAAGTACTAAAGTAAAAATACATTTTATGGCATAACTCCATTAATATTGATGCTAAGAATTTGATTTTACTATCATTAGAATCCTCTTATTAAGATGAATCTAATGATATAAATTTTATTAAAATCAAATCATTAGTTGTGTTAAAAACAAGAGTATGTAGGATAACGAAATTTTTAAAATATCTCTGTAATATGCAACTTTTGAAAAATTTTAATATAAACTCTACATAAACTCAAATGTAAGTTGTATCAGTATTGTTTGGAGTCCTGAGGTAATCTGTAAAAAAGTTATGTAAGTGTATTAGAACTTCCAGATTAACTTCAGATATATAGCTTACTTTTGCATTAAGTATAATGCTTTGGATATCTAGTACTTTCTCTGGATTTACTTTACCCAAAATTTTCATAGATATGTATTAAGTCATTACATCTGAATATAAAGCATTTATATTCTTATATATAATCCAAGATTTCAGCTTACTAAAGTTATAGTCAGGATATTGCAGATTATTTTTTTGGCATATTGATGATTTACCATTTTCATGCTACTATAAATACTATTCTTGATTGTAAGATACTCATCCATATCTGCCATGAGCTTGAATTCTACTTTACTACTCTTATATAGTAAATCATTAAACATTTCTGATGTAGATAGAACCCTACCTACTATTAAAATAGATTATTCTATAGCTTAAGATAAGGTTTACATATAAAACTCTTTAAAGATCCTACTATAAAAGATAATTTTATATTATATTATTATGATTTTTTCCTTTTTAGTTAATTAACCAAGTAAAATCTAAGCAAATCCTAAATAAGGTTTTATATAAAAGTAAAATTTCTACTAGTAACAATTTTAATAGTAAACAAGGTCCTATGCAAATACATAATGAGAAAGATTTAATCCATCATCTTTCAAGTACATGATAATATAATTTATAAAAACATCTGCAAGTAAAAGTACATTAGTTTCAAAATAAAGATCTTAATAATTTCCAAAACTCTACATCTCGAATTTTTGCCATATTTTTATATATATTTGTAATCCTTTATACTTATATTTTGCTAACTAATAATTAAATAGAAATCCTTTCTAGACGAGAAGCTTGTTCTATCAAATTTTTTATAAGTTTGTCCAGTTATATGAGAATATTTCTTTTCAAAAAAAAAGATTAATCTTATCTATTAAATAGTCTTTCTCAGTAAAATACTTAATAGTTACTAAGAAAATCTTTTAAGCTTTCCTCCTAAACATTTCACTAACTTACCAAAACTTATTTCCATATAAAGATGGTTATCGGCCTTACCAGTCCTACTCGGTTTTAGACTGGTTAGTCTCAGGACTTGTAAGCTCTTTCATTTTTTTTTGGCACAGTAGAACTGATTTTAAGACTGACCTAGTCTCACCTGTCTTGGTTATAAAAGGATTCAGGATCTGAATTCTTTATTTATTATATTGGTCTTTATATATAAATTATTTTTATAATAATAACGTTATTAATTTAATAATAATTTAACCAATTTTTGATAATCACAAAATGATAAATAAAGATAATCATTTTTCCCACTTATATGTCTATTGAAAAATCCAAAAAAAATAGCCTTCTTCCAAGCATTTCTATATATAAAAAAAGAAACAAAAGTAACAAATTTGGCATATTTCATTAACTTATTTCATTCATTTATGTTTATGTATAAAGAAGGATTTTTCAATTTAATACTCCACTTTTTTTAAAAATTATTTTATTTTATAAATGGATACTAATTATTATTAATAATATTTCATTTCTTTTTATTAGCAATCTTTTTAAAATATTTTAATTTACTTTGAGATTTAATAATTTATTTGCAATCATGTTTTTATATAGAAAATTTCTAAGTTTACACGGGATGTTTGTACACATGTCATATAAATATAATTTTTAATAGACTAATTTTTTGTTTTTTAATTTGAAATTGAATGCTACCGACATTATTATACTCTTTTACTTTTTATTCTTATTATATTACAGATAAATATATGTATTTTCACCTGCTCTGCAAGTTTACTTAAGGCATTAAAGGAGGTTTTGAATGCCATTTTTAATCTATTAATATGACCCGTGTTTAAACACCCGTGTACAAATAGAAATTGCCTTTTATATAAATGTTAATTTTGTAATTTTAATAATCAATTTAATAGTAATAAATACATATGATTTTAAAAAGAATAAAAAGAAAAATTTAAAAATTATACAAAAGAATAAAATAAAAAGTTCTTTAATATTTATTTAATTTTCTTTTATTCTAACCAAAACTTTAAGTATAAATATGCTTATGCTGTACTAGTATCAATTCTGTTATGTGTTTGATTAAATTGTTTTCCTGCAAT